AATTAATATATATATATATATATATATATATATATATATATATTTATAATATAATTAATAAATTTATAATATTCGTTTGAATTGTTATTAATTTATTTATAGAGAGAAATGGAAGAAAAAATATTAAAAAAAATTTTGCATTAAAATAAAAACAAATAAATTTTTATCTTATATTGATCTTTTAAAAAAATTTAATAATATTACACAGTTTTAATGTCTAATATTGTTATAATATAATTAAAATTTATCAATATTCCATTTTTATGATTAAAACATGTATACATATACTATGCTTATCATTAAATATATCTACTGAATTTTAAAAGATCATTATCATTTCCATCTTTTAAAGTCATGATATATATATATATATGTATTTCTTATAATTCTATAAGTTAAAAATTAAATAAAGAAATACATAAACAAAAAAGAAATTGAAAAATGTCGAAAGATCAATTACGTGTACAATTTGTTTTCTTACCATTACCATTTCTCACGATTGCGGTGAATGATTCTTCATTTTTTGCCATGCAACGGCATCATAGTTCTTTTCCTAGTCTAGTCTGCTACTCTTACTTCTGCCAGCCTTATTTTTATGCCCGTCCACCCACTACTATTACTATTGCCCCTCTACCTTTCCCGCCCTACTATTCCCACTCCATTGGCCTACCTTTTCCGCGCCAGTAGAAATAGAGGGAAAGATTTTTATTCACGTAAATGGAAAAACCAGGCTAGAGAGGGAGGTTTTGCCAGCCAACCGCTGCTGCGAGCGAAATTTTTTGCTTCGCCCTCGTCGTCGACAAGCTCGTCGAAGGGTAAGTTAGGAAAGACGGGGTTGAGAAGTTCGTTGAAGTTTATCTTGCAGGATTATAATGTTCATCTCATATTTTTTATCTAACGAAAATTTGTTTATGAAATTATTAATATAATTCATTCATCATTAATTCATAATCATTAATTTAAATATTTTAAAAAATTAAAATAACAAAATTAAAAAAATTTTAAAAAACGATGAAATAATTAATATATTATTATATAAAATAGAAAACATAGTAATGATTGATAAAAATAGATCTAATTTTAAATAAATAAATATGTAATATAAATACTATTCATATTTTGTTCTTTTCAAAAAAGAAAAATTTTTTATATTATTATATAAATTTTTTATATATATATATGCAATAATTTTTTGTCTATTTTTTCATTACTTAATGAATTTTCATGTTTTGTTTATATTTTTTAAACATTGCTTATAATATAATCTAATATTTTAATCAATGTTAATAGTTTGAATTTTTATTAAAATTCTCTTATTATAAAATAATTTTTTATGTTCAGTTTATAAATATTCTTTTCTGCATTTAATCCTCTATTCTTTTTTAAAAAATAAATTGAGGAAAAAAATATTAATATCTGACTTATGAAATAATGATATAATTCTTTGAGTACGTATCGTATGCAAATTTTTAAAGCCTGAGAAATAATTCAGAAAGGGTTCGAACATACGGTGGTCAACTTTTTTCGTTAGAACTTCTTGCTCTCGACCCATAGGAAAATAGCAAAAAATTGTGAACTACACTCTCGACGATGAAACTCGTGAGATTTTATCAAGATGCATTTCTTCGGTTAAAAGATACATGAACAAAAAATATAAAAAACTATTTTTTATCCATTTTTATAAAGTATATTTTATATTTTATATTTATACGATATATTTTACTGTAATAATTAGAATTAAAATCTAATTATAGATTATTCATTGATTTTATATAACATTCATGAATATTTATATTATGTATATTTACATAAAATTATGTTTAATTTAAATTTAATAATTTTAAATATGAATATATAAGAAATTTATATATAATATTTTTTTATTAATGTTTAATAGTTATGGATATATTGGATATTATTAAAAAAGAATACTTTTTTTTTTTTAATATTTATAATTCTAATATTTTTAATTTTTTATAAATGCGAATGGCAGTAAAATTAATATAATTAGTTTAATGACTGATAATTAAAAACTAATTAAACAGCAATATTCAATATTTAGGTTCATACTTAATACTATACATATAATCGTTACATTATTCTTAAAAGAAAATATTCTTACATTATCACTTACAAACTATACATTTACATTGTTGATTATTTATCAACTTTTTATATACGCATATTAAAATAAATGCATACAGTCATATTAAAAAAAAATGACGTATTCAAATATTTAAAATAAATATTAAACTTACATTTTATAAATTGTCAATTATTATATTATTATTATGAAAATTTTCTAGGAACATTTAATTAAAGTTAGTAGTATATGAAGACTTAAAATATTCAAGCGTTTATACGAATTTCTATAAAACATTCGTTGGATTACAATGGTAAATAATCTATTTATATTATTATGTTATATGCAATTTTCGTAATAAGCACGCAAATAAATGGAAGCACGCAAATAATATAAAATCATACACAACCATATTCGTACCATACTTGGTTGCCTGTTTTTGAATCTTTATCTACAGGTGTTTCCATCATTGTTTCCTCTTGTCCTACATTTTTCATTCCGCTATTATTAAGATTTTTTGATTCATTTATAACTGCTGATACTTTATTATATATCAGAACCGGTCGTGGTTCTACTTGCACTTCTGATCTTGAAGTTTGTTCTAACAATATAGAACGTCTATCATCTCCCTGTTCCTATAATAAGCATTTCATATACAAGAAAAGAGAATTTTTCTATTTTACTAGGAAAAAATTTATAGAAAAAATATATTAATAAATTTTCATTCATACATACTGGTAATGTAGTTGAAGGTGGTGGAGAATCATCAGTATAATACACTGTTCTTCTGGTTCCTGGATGACCAAGAGACAATGCATCTGATCCAAGACCTCTAGCTGATCCTAAAATTAATTATAAATTTCCTTATTAATAATATTTTTATTATTTATTTATTTACTTATAAAAAATAATATAATATGAATAAATAAAAAAATAATTTAATAATTTGTAAGAAATAAATATTCTTTATTTTAATGCATGAAATGTATTTTACTGCATTTTATTACTGCAATTATACAGCTTATACATATTTAAATTGCATCTTTACCTGCTATGCGATGATCTTCTGTACTAGCATCAGAATCATTTCCACCAGATTCTGATTCATAAGTTTTTCCTTCTGAGTGTTTGGAATCTTCCGCCCAAGATCGTCGATTCTAATATATATATATATATGTATATATAATTTATATATAAGGTTTTTTAATTTTTTAAATTTTAAAGTTTATTTTAATTTTTATTAATTTTTTGATATTTATATTAAATATTTATGTGCGTCAATTTTTCACCTTATTAAGAAACTCAGATCCAACTTTCCGAACTCTTCGCACAAAATTAGCTCCGAATCCTTTTCTTTAAATATAAATAAAATATAAATAAAAGTACACACACACACATATATATATAAAAATTTATAAAATAAATAATTAAAAAAATTTATATTTAAATGTACAAAAATACTTACTTTTTTGGAGTGCAACTTTCTAATTTTCTATAATGTTCCATAATCTTATCTTCCAATTTTTCTTTTTGCCTATATAAATGATTCACTTTATCCCTAAAATATTTATTATTAATATACATAACATATTATATAATAATACAATATAATATATAATATATTTATCATAAATATATTAAATAATATTTTTATTATTAAATTAATATAACTAAATTATGTAACTAATAATTTTAAAAAAAAACTCAAACATAATTACTACTATATTTATTAAATTTAATAATATTGAATTTTAGTTTTTAAAATACTAACGTGTACATTTTCTCTTCCATATGATAATGTTCTTTATCTTCGAGTGAATGAGTCAAAAGTTCATGATATTGACTAAACAATAAACTAATATGATCCATTAACGATCGCCTATCATTATCTAAACCGGAATTCATATGTAATAGCATCTAATAAATAAAATATAATATAAGATAATAATAAATATATGTTAAATATAACATTATATAATTCAATATTAATTTATACCTCACATCGTTGATTTAATGTATTGATTTGAAATTCTAAATTCGAACATCTTTCATCTCTGCTGCTAAGTTCGCCTTGCATTTCTGTTAATTTTAGACTTAATCGATTTGTTTCAATCTTATTTTTCCGATAATCTTCCTGCAAATTTCTATATTCCATTTTTAATTTTTCTGTAGCAGTATACAAATTTCTAAAATCATCCTAAAATAATTAAGAAATTAAATTTGTAATATTCATAATTTATCTATCTTTTTACATTTATTTAATACCTTGAGTTTTGAATGTTCTCCTCTTAAATTATTCAAACTTTTCGCATCACTGACCAATGATTCTTTTTCAGTTTGCAATATCTTATTTCTTGCTTTTAATCCTTCGTAAGATTCGCGTAACATTCTTATTTCATTTTTTACATCTCGCAAATTTGATTTCAAAGCATCGTGTTCGTGGAATAAATTTTCATATTCATTATTTAATTGTTCATGCAATGATTGCAAAGTAACTTGGTCATGAAGAAGTTGTGTGTGTGCTTGTTGTTGTGCGCTTCGTTCTTTTAACAACTAAATTAAAACATTTAATAATAAAGATTTAAAAATTAAAATTTATAATAATATTAATATAAAATTATTTAGCTTCTTTTAATATTTTTAGTATAATATTAATTACACATATAAATAGATGTGATATACACACACACACATACACACACACATATATATATATATAAGACATAATTGTAAGCATTAGATATTAAATAGATAAAGTTTAATAAAAATAAAATATATATTTACCTCTTCTTTTTCAGCAACAAGTTGCGAATTTGCAAGTTGCAACGCTGTATGTTGTGCTGTTAAAGAATTATTTTGAGATTGTAATGTTGTTATCTGTACTTGAAGTTTCGCGTTTTCAGATAAAAAGCTTTCCGATGCTGTTTGTGCAGTAACTAATTTCATATTTAAATGTTCTTGCTCTTTCTAAAACAAGGAAATTATATTATAAATTATTATATTTCATAATGATAAATATTTTTTAATATAGTATCTTTTTTTCTTTTTTATTAATTATTTTTACATACTTTAAGTGATTCTACTGTCGCTTCTAATTTATTATGAATACTGCTAGTTACAGTATTCTCGGAATTTATAGACTCAGGTACTGATTTTTCGCTAGAACAGGAATTATTTGATTTCAATATATAGTCAATCACTTCCGGAATTTGCGCAATTCTGTAATTATTAAATATTAGTCATTAATTTAAGATTTTAAATTTTTATCAATTTAAGAATTTTAATTAAAATTTGAAATTTCATTACTTTTTAATAATATCATCCAATGGAAGAGATAATAACATATTATCACTGAGACCAAGCTTTTCTAAAACTGTATATAGTTGTTGAGTATTCAATTTTTCAGCTACTAAATTCGATTGTAAAATTTCTAATGTTTCCCTATCGATCGCTGCTCGTGAATCTAATTCTTTACTAGATCTTTCAATTTCTTGTAACCTGTCAATAAACAAATATTTCTTTATTAGTAAAAGAGCATTTATCTGGAAACGTATAAACATTTTTAAAAATATGAATGATATTTAAATAATATTGACAAAAATGTTTCAGAGAAAAATTGTTCATCTGGCGATCGGATCTTCATCTTTATTTGATCCTGATATATTAAAAAGTTTTATGAATTATGTTTAAATTTTTAAATATGAATCTTTTTTTTTTTTTGAAAATATTTTGATGTCATGCTAAAAGATAAAAAAAAATTATTAAAAAATTTAAATATAATTATCAAAATCAAATAAATATCCGAATATATTTCTCCTGAAACTTCATAATTTATAACTAAAACATTTTTTTATATCATCCATATTTTTCAAGATATTTATACGTTACCAGATAAATCACATACCCTGTACATACTATTTGAAATATTTTATACCTTGAAATTTGTGTAACAGAATCATGAAGTTCCTGTTCAAGTTGTGTTACTTTTCTTTCTAAAACTTCAATACTATTTGTTGCTTTATCCAATGCAACATCCTTATCCTGAAATTTATCTCGCTAAGTAAAATTTAATTTAATAATTTATTACATGAAAATTAAAAATATAATTAATTTTAAATTTAAATAAAATAATTTAAAATGATAAAAATATAAATTAAATTATTTTTATTAATTAATTAAATTAGAAAATTATTAAATTAAATAATTAATTTAAATAAAATAATTAATCATTCTTATAATAATATTTTATAAAATTCATACTTCTATCGTTTCTCGATATCGATGAATATCGCGTTGTGCTACATCTTTCTCTTTTTCTACTGCCACAAGTTTCGATTCAAGATCAAGACATTTAGAATTAATTTCTTTTACATTATTTTCGATAATTTTTAATTCTTCAATTTTTTTGATTCGCAAGTTCTAAACTACGTTCTAAATCATCTGCACGTCTTTGAACACTTTCTAATAAAGATTGAACACGTTGTTTTTCTTTCACTGCTATATCATAATTTTTTTCCAGTTCTATTATTTTTGTATGTTGAGTCTAAAAATTAATAAATACAAAAATAAAACATTGAACATAAAAATATTAAGATAATGTAAAAAAAATTTTCATGAAATACCTGAAATTCTTGTTGTTGTTTTTCAGATGATGCTCTCTGATTTTTTAATGAATTTTGTAATTTTTTATTTTCCTCTAATGCTTGTTTCCATACTAATTCCAAGTCTGAATTTTGTTGAGTTAATCTTTCAATATTATCATTTAACGATTCGATTTTTAAAGATAATTTCTTTTTTTCTTTTTCTAATTCCAATACACGTGATGAATTTTCATGAAATGAATTTTCTTTTAAAGAATCAATTAAAGTAACCAATCGACGGTTTTCCAATTCTAATTTTAGAGCTCGTGTTTGTGCATTATTTGTTAATTGTTCAGATAATCTGTTATCAGCATGTGCTATATAAAATGTAAATATACATTACATTTATATATGATAGAAAAATAAAATATTATTATATATTAAAAATTATTTTTTTATTACCTGGTTCTTCAGAATCACTTATAGAACTAGATAAGGCAGCTTCATTTGCAGCAGCTTTTGTTAATTTATGCAACTGAGTATTTTCTTCAACTAATTCTTGATATTTTTCTTTATCAGCCGCACGTTCCTTAAAAGTTCAATCAAAAGTTAAAAAAAAAAAATTAAATTTATCAGTGCATTTTAATCTTTACTTATAGATTTACATACCAATGCCATATCGTTCAATAATTGTTTGTATTTAATAATTTCGGATTCGAGTTCCAATACTTTATCCGCCCTTCTTCTCGATGAATTTAATTGATCTTCAAGCATTTCTCTAGTATCCATTAAAACTCTAAAATAAAAAATATTTTTTGTAAAAAAATATATTTAAATTATATATAAAAAGTTAAAGAAAATTCATGAATATACCTGTTATCTTCACGTAATTCCTCTATACGTGTTTTATAAAATTCTATATCTGTAAGTTTCTCTCTATATCTTACTACTTCTAATTCCAATCGATCAGCACGATCTGCTCTTTCAATTACAGCATCTAATTCATCTCTATAAGACTTTGCTGTGCGTGCTTCATGCATCAATTCTTGATTCTAAAAAAGTAATAAAAATATTACAAATATATAAATATAGATTTGTAATATTATTACTGAAAATTACTTATTAAATATACTAAAAATAAATAACAAATGTTAACGAAATAAATGGTTAGACTTTAATACCGCATTTTGCTATTCATAAAAAAAAATTATATAAACATAATATAACTCTCTTACTTTTCAAAATATAAATACTTCTTGTTTAAATTAAAATTTTACGTTATCAGAGACTTATTTTACGTTAAATAGAGAATTATAAATATTATCATTTTCTTCTATTATAAGTAAACAATGTCCTGACAAATGTCTTGACATTGAAAATAATATGATATAATCATAATAAATTAGTCTTTATCTATATTTGTGATGTATGATAAATGTGAATTCGATTACTGTGTCACGGCAGCGATATACGAATGCAGCGTGTGGTAACAATAAAATTGACTGAAAGAAATTAAATATTTATATTAATGCTGCAAAATTCTGCGAAATAATAAACTAAGAATTTTAGAAATCTTCAATAAGAAATTTTATCTTCAATAGTTCAAAACATTAATTTTAAAATAAATATATATTTACAGAAAATATATTTACAGATCATTTTCAATAATTCAAAAAGTAAGTATCATATATTCTTATAACATTATTTATATGATATTATTTAAAACAAAAAAATATTCGTATTTCAAAAAGAAAAAAATGCTTTATAGATTTATTTATAATCTTTTTCCATTCTTATGAAGAGCAAAATATAACATTGAAATTTAACTACTTATTTTATTAAATAATCAGTTCACTTAATTCATTTTTTTTACGTATATAAAAAATAATATCATACCTCTTGTTTTAATTTAGTTATTAACATTTTATGATACTCAAGTTCTTCTTTACATTCCAACAATGCTTCTGTTTTTTCTTCTCTATAAATAATTAACAAAAGAAAGAATATATCAAATATAAAAGTAATTAGAAATATTATATAATTTCAAAGTTACTATGTCAAAAATTATAATACATACAATTCTTGACGTTGTTTTCTAACTTTTGATTTCCAATCAGCCAATTCAACTGCATAATGATGATTTTCTTCTCGTTCTGACTTAATAACAGGATTAGATTGTTGCACTTTATTTATTTCTTCAGCTTCAACACTAATTGATGAATCATTTCTTTCAACACTTTCATTTATAATAGTATCTCGCCATTTCTGTTAAATCAATCAATATTTTGTATTTATACTAATGTAACACACAATAACATTGATATAATTACCTGACGATATAAATCTAATTCTTGAGACATATTTTTTATTTGTGTAAATAAATATCCCATATTTACATTCTCCATTGCATCTTGAGTAATAACTATATCTTGATGATCTGTAACCTAAAATATAAAATATTTTAATGCAAAAAAAAAAAAAATAAAAAATAATAGAAATTGAATAATAGAAATTAAAAATTTAAAAAACATACTTGTTTAATACATTCTACTATTGAAAGTTGAGTATCAACATTTAACGTTTTTATATTTGTAATAAATTTTTCTTTATTAGGACATTGAACAGCACAACCAAGGAGTAATAATAATAATAATTTCATTTCAGCAATATATAATTGTGGCTCTTTGCCTAAGTTCACAGTATCTGGTAACCTTAGAAGTAAATGACCTAATTCTTCTTCATAAAATTGTTTCATATTATCTACAATAACTTTTAAATTTTTTGTGCGAATTGATGGATTTCCTTCTGGAGGTATAATTTCATTATATAGTGGTTCTGGATCTCTATAAAATATAAAATTTTGTAAAATATTTCAATATAAAAATTTTTTTAAAAAATAGATATATATAAATTAAAATTATTAAAATACTTACATTTGCAAAAATACATTGTGTAATAATACACCACCCACTAAATCATCATAACTAGTTAATGAATTAGGATCCTCTAAGCAACTAACAAACTATTACATAAAAAATATATTATTAATAATTTGGATGTTAGTAATTTGAATAATTTTATTATTATATATTATTAAATTTATAAAATTAACTTCACATTTAATAATTATTTAAAAAAATATTATAATATAAAACAAACATTTAATAATTATTTAAAAAAACACTTTATAATAAAAAACAAATAAATCATAAAACTTTAGAAAAGAAGAAACTTACCCATGTTACTAAAGGCCCAGACAATAAATCATCAATTTCAGAAGATGCCATTTTATATACTTTCACATTAATATGTAATAATTAATATTATCATTTCTTTTTATAAAAAGAAAATTTCTATTTATTTAAAAATTTGGTATAATAATATATGATATAAGAAGTAATTTCATTAAAAGAATTATAAATTACTTATGTATAATAAAATATGTAATAAAATAAATAAATTTTAAAAATTAGATATGATTTATAGAATATGCAAAAAGATTTATAGTTTCATAAAAATAAATATTTTTTTCTCTGTCTTTATTTATTGTAATTATATATTTACTTGCATTTACTATGTATGTATGTATATATATTATAAAAAAATTTTATAATTTCAAATAATTAACTATTGTTCTATAGTTAATTTCTAACAACGATAATTAATTTAATGTTTCAATAATTTTATGATACTTAATTTCATCTATTTCTTGATGTTTATTCAACATTTCATGTATATTTTACTACACATGCAACAACAAAAGAAAATATAACTGTACACTTTTATATCCTTATTCAATAAAATATATTAATTATATTTTATACGAATTATTTAATATCTTATCACTATTTGTTGAAGTACTTGAAGCGTATAAGACATTATACAATTTTTAAGAACACTTTGCATTGATAGACGAAGAGATTAAGACGATCAAATGTACATGTTCAACAATATAAACAAAATCTACATCTTGCAAACTAAAGAAACATGTATATACAAACATGACTGATTTAACGCCGGCTCAAAATTGTCTGTCTTTTTGATTGGTCAACATGATATATCAGCGTACTCTAACGGATGCTATTAGAATTAGGAATAAATTTTATATAAGTTTTCAAAAAATAAGAAAATTTTCTGCCATTGGTAAATAATATTTTTATTACATTATATATTTTTTGAATTTAAAATAAATAATTTTTCTTTTTTTTAAATTATTTGAAATTTATAAAATAATATTAATTGATTAACTTAAACAAATTTCATAATAAATAAAATAATTTTTAAATTTCTAATTAATTTGTAAATATGTCTTTTCATTTCTAGAGACTTAATTATGGTTGAACAAAAATTATTTAAATATTGTTTAATTTAAGAATAAATAACATTTTCTTATTTAAAGCAAATATTATATTATAAAAATTATACATATTATAAAATTATATATACTTGACAAAATAGTAATATTTAAAAATATATGTATATATTTTTTGATGTATTCAAAATCTTGAAAATTTTACTTTAATTTGATCTTCATTTAATTTTATTTTAATTCAAACAATTAAATATTATAATTATATAATTATATAATAATATAATTAAATATTAATTTATATGTTATAAAAATATAATTTAATCAATTTAGTAATTTTAGCGAAAAATGTTTAAAAAAAATTTTCTTTACCGTTATAATATACATACATATATATAATAATGTATACATAAATAATATATATATATATATATAATACTTATAATAAAATTTAAACAATTGAATAAAGATGTTTCGCTTCTCAATACTACTTAATGTCTATTTACGAAAATCATTATTTTTATTATTTTAAAAATTAATTATATGACTATATCAATTTCAATTATATAAAATATTATAAATTATTTATATACAATCTTTCAATATTTATTAAAAATATAACAATGTACATAATGATATAAAATATGATTCAAAATTGTAAACAATTTACTTGTAAAGAATGATGAAAATAAATATATGCAATTCTCAATCAAGTAAATTTATTTTATGGCATCGAATTAAATGATTATAATTGAATGGTGTTTTTTTTTTTGCCAATTTATATAATAATAGAGATTAAATAATATTGTTACAATAAAAAATTTTTAAATTGGAATATAGAAATGTCGAACGCATGTTTGCATGAAAGTTAAAATATAGATAAGTACTTGCCTATATGTTGATTAGAAGTACCTGAGTGTGTGCAAAAGACACGTTGGCTGTGGTGTGAAGCAACGTAGCTTCAGATTTTTTGAATAATGATTCTGTTCATTATGATATAATTTTTAATATTATTGTAATACGTTTAAAGAAATAATTTGTTGAAATATATATTATTTCATAATCTATGCATTTTTATTTAAGGTATTTAATAATTGATATTTGCTTTTCTTTATAAATAAAATTGTTATTATAATATTTCAATATTTTGATTACATATGGATGATATAATGATTACTTGTGTATTATACATTTTTTTTTATATTCATTTTTATCTTTATTCATTTGTTATTAATGTTTAATCAATTTTATTGTATATTCATATTTTTTACTTTAAATATAGAGTACATTTTAATAAATTAAATTTTCTAATAATAATATAATTACTTAATTTTTATTTTAGATATAATTATCTTAAACAAAATGAGAATTATACAATTAAAACGAAATCGCCTTTTCAATATTATTATCTGCACAATATTTGTTCTTTACGTGTTATATATTGTTGTAAACTATTTTTCTGAAAAACCTATCAATAATTTAAAAATATATTGGTCTGATGGTTTAAAAGATAAACAGGTAAATATATTATTATAATTTCGTATTAATAAAATTCTTAAAACATAAGATTTATATATTTTATTGTTAAATTACATAGTTTTTATAAAAAAATTTTATTCAGAAATAAATTGCAAAAATTAATTTTAATATGTAAATACATTTACATTTATTAATAATTTAAATATATAAAATTATTATTAGTAATTTAAATATGTTATAATAAATATTATATTGTCATAACATATTATAAATTTTTGTAGGTTCCAATTCTATCAAAAGAACTTGGTAACTTTGAACCAAAACGTATATCAATGAGAAATGGTCCTGGAGAAAAAGGTAAACCTCATATTCTTAGGGATGATCAACAGAATGATGTTCAACAATCAGAAATCGATTATGGTATGAATATGGTATGCTCTGATGAAATTTCATTAGATAGATTAATTCCTGATACTAGAATGCCTGAGTAAGTCAATATTGTTTTCTATTTTTTAAACAATAATTTTATAATATTATTTAAATTAAATTCTAAAATTTAAATAACATTTTGGTAAAATAAATATACCATAAATAATATTTCAAATAAATAGTTTTTTTATAATGATTATTAATGAAAGTTAAAAAATTTTAGAATGTAATTACATGAAAGAAAAAATAACAATATATTATTAGTATATTATATTTTAATTAGACACCATTATGATAAATATATTATAAATGTTATATTCATTTATTTTATTTATAGATGTAAACATTGGAATTATCCAGAAATGTTACCTAGAACTAGTGTAATTATTGTATTTCACAATGAAGGCTGGTCTGTATTAATGAGAACTGTTCACAGTGTTATAAATCGTACTCCACCACAATTTTTGGAAGAAATTTTGCTTGTAGATGATTTTTCTGATAAAGGTGAATATCATAATAATATAATAAAATATAATAATAATATAATAAAAATATTAATTAAATTAGAAATAATAAAAAATTTCATGCAGAATTATTCATGAAAAATTATATATAAGATTATAATATAAATTTATATATGTATAAAATATATTTATTAATAAAATATTTTTATAGATAATTTAAAGGGAGAACTAGAGTCTTATATTGAACGATGGGGAGATAAAGTTAAATTAATAAGAAATGATAAAAGAGAAGGATTAATAAGAACAAGATCACGTGGTGCACGTGAAGCTAAAGGCGAAGTTATAGTATTTTTGGATGCACATTGTGAAGTTAATATTAATTGGTTACCACCTCTTTTAGCTCCCATAGCTGCTGACAGGTAATTTTTCCTTTATTGAATAATTTCCATACTGAAAAGTAGCGTATTATGATATCCTTATCTGTGATAATATTCTTTTAACAGTTAAAATTATAAATATATAATTCAAAAATTCAAAGAAATAGTGAAAGAAAGAATTTATGAACATGGTCCATTCGCAGTGGACCAATGATGGCTCACAATAATTGCTAGAAGGAAAATTTTTATTAGAGAAACAAAAATATTCTTTACTGCATTCTTCAAGTAAGGTAGATGCAAAAAAAGATTTAAAGTGTTAAGGATTTAATACAAATGTTATTTTTCTATAATTCAATTTAATATCCATTTAAATTTAAAATTCTACAAAACGCTTACTTTTCTCTTTGGATAGAATATGTTTTTATTTGTAAATTTCATAAATAAAATTAATCACATCTGTTAAATTTTAGAACTGTAATGACAGTTCCCATTATTGATGGTATTGATCACAAGACATTTGAATATCGACCTGTATATCAAGAAGGACATTTGTATCGAGGTATTTTTGAATGGGGAATGTTATATAAAGAAAATGAACTTCCTGCACGAGAGAAAAAAATTCGACCTTATAACAGCATGCCGTACAAGTAATTTGTTTTAAAAAATATACTTAGACACACAGAACAAAATTATTTAACATTTATGTATTAGGAAAACACTCAATTTAGGTCTCCTACTCACGCTGGTGGCTTATTCGCGATAAATCGTGAATATTTTTTGTCATTGGGTGGATATGATGATGGATTACTTGTATGGGGTGGAGAGAACTTTGAACTTTCATTTAAAATATGGCAATGTGGAGGAAGCATTCTTTGGGTACCATGTTCACATGTTGGTCATGTATATAGAGGTTTTATGCCTTACACATTTGGTAAATTAGCACAAAAAAAAAAGGACCACTAATAACTATAGTAAGTAAATTAATATTACATATTTATTATAGCAATATTTTTTTAATATTTAAGAATTATAATTATTAATGTATTTTGATAAAATGAATATAAAAATTGTAAATTCTTTCTAGAACTACAAGAGAGTTGTTGAAACATGGTTTGATGACAAATACAAAGAGTTCTTTTATACAAGAGAACCATTAGCGCAATTACTTGATCATGGCGATATATCAGAACAGTTAGAGTTTAAAAGACGAAAAAGATGTAAAAGCTTTCAATGGTATATGGAAAATGTAGCTTATGATGTTTTTGATAAGTTTCCAGAATTACCACCTAATATTCACTGGGGAGAAGTAAGAAAAATAATATTTATATTAAAAATATTATTATATATTTTATTCAATTCATTATTAATTATAATTTCACTGTTTTCAATTACATTTTATCATTATTTTATCATTGCAATTATCATTTTGATATTTAAGAAAATATTTATATTAGTGTATACTTAGCTAGCATCATATCAATACAAATAATTCAATCTCAAAATATTATGTATAAAATCTTTAGATCTATTATCTTTTTTATTAAATTTTAGTTACGAAATGTAGCAACAGGAACATGTTTGGATACAATGAGTCATTCTCCTCCTAGTTTAATGGCAACAACTGATTGCCATGGATTTGGTAATAATCAGGTAATTTTAAATTATTTTTAAACAATTTTTTTTAATTTTATAAACTATTATTATAAATATGAATTATAATTTATATTTTTCAGTTAATTAGATTAAATGCAAAGGGTCAATTAGGTGTTGGAGAACGTTGCATATCCGCAGATAATCAAGGAGTAAAATTCGTATTTTGTCGCTTAGGGACTGTAGATGGTCCATGGCAGTATGATGAAGTAAATATCATTAAACATACTATTTTCTTATTGAATTTTTATCTCATTATGAATTTTATATTTTATAAAAATAATTAATTTTTGTAGAAAACAAAAACGCTTTTACATAGAGTGCACAAAAAGTGCATGGCACTTCATCCTCAAACTCAACAATTATCATTAATGCCATGTGATATCAATAATACGTATCAGCAGTGGTCCTTCCATCAAGTTCATCCACAATGGTGAAGAAACGTAAGTACTGGTGCTACTTATACTACATATGAAACGTTTTATGCTGAATCAGAGATTTTTGGCAAAACTTTACCTATGCATTAATTTTTTTTTATATGATAAATTGTAGTTAAAACACATGGTATTTTAGTTTTCTCATAAAGTTAAATACTTATGCAAAATTAAAAATGCGAATAAGAACATAAAATTACAACATAAATTTTTTTAAAAATAATAACAATTAAACTCTATGAAAAAAAAATATTAATTAATATTAATAACATATCTGTTATATTGATATCATTTGAAATTATTTTTTATATATTTCACAATTAAAGTGTTCAAATACAATTTATAATGTTAATAATTTATGATCATTGATAGAATCAACAATTTATTTGATTTGTTATAATTTCAATGAAACCTATTTTGATACAATATAATAATATAATTTATTAAAATATATTCATGATTTTTTTACACAATTATCTATAATATCGAATATAATATCTTTCATATTATAGTTTACTACTTACATTTAATTTTATTTTTAGTTTAATCATTTTTCTTAAGAGATAGCATAAAAATGTTAGAATTATTCTTTTTTGAATAGATAATGTTATTTTTTTTGAAGTAAAAAAAGAACTATGCAAATGATCACGCAAAAATTATTTAAAAAATGTTCGTAAACATTTACGATAAATATATCGAAGCATTTATTTATGTTTATCATTAATTCGTAAGTAATAATTTTTGAAAATAAAGAAAACTGCATATATTATTTTTATGAGTAATACTAATTTAGAATTTCTTCTAAATATGTATTTCTTACATCGATTATGAATACCGTTCGAAAATATTTACATACATTAATATTTAATAAATAATTATATACGCGAATATTTGCGTTCATATTTGCGTTATATGTTTGCACAGACTGTTCAAAAATAAAGGTTCATGAACTATTTGCACATACATGGATACACAATTTAAGATACGGTTAAATGTAATATGTACAATTTCAATTATTTTGAAGTTCATTTCGCTTATTATCAATGTAACGTAAAAATGTGTGCTTCCATTTTCGACTGATTCTTCTTAAGAGAGCATGTTACTGATATAGTTTTGTAATGGTTTTTAATTTTTTAAAATACACTTTCAGGCAAAAAGTTACTTATCATAATGTAAAAAAAAACGTAATGTTTTATCAAAAATTATGTATTGAAAAATAAAATAGATATTTATAACATTCTGTGTTTGAATTTACAACAATTCTGTGTTTAATTTGTTCTGATTATAAATTTTATTATGAAATCTTATTATGTATATTGTCACATTATACAGTTTATAAATTCATATGAAAATTCATATAAAAAGATATTTTATTATTATGCTAATTGTTTCAATAAATAAATGTTTATTTACGAATTTTTTAAATAATCATTCATCAACAATTATTATATTGTTTTCCTAATTATATAATTTATCATAATCACAGTCAAATTTGATAAATTTAACGACTAGATCTAATTTTATGAATACAGTCAATATCTCACACATGAACATTAATCAAGAAGTTTAAGCGATAATGATAATGGTGTAACTCGAGTTTCTATAGTTGTTGGTCTTGTAGATGTCTGAAATAATCATATAAATTATCTGATATTTAATTTTTGTAAACAAGAGATAAAGAGATTTACCTTATTGCGATCTCTAATATTAAATGCACCATAAACAATAGGATTCATACAAGAATTTGTACAAGCAAATAGAAAGAGTCCTTTCTGGATTCGTTGATCAATTTTATATGCTGAATTTCGATCAATCCAGTACCTACATAATCGTAATATATATAAAATACATAATATTTATCTATAATCATATTAATACACGCTAGAAAATAATAACATTTACCAAAGACTCATGACATAATATGGTGTCCAGCAAATAAAAAATACAGCTATAATAATCACTGTCATCTTTAAAGTTCGTATTTTTGCTCGTGTAAGAAAACCTATTGAAGAACGACGAATCTTATCTGAAATTGATTAATGGTTTATTAATTTTTAGAAAAGTGTGATAACTTGTATTTGTTCTTTAATTTTTAATATAAATTTAAAGATGTTTTTCAAAAAGATGAAAACATTAAAATAAAGAATAAATAAATTTTTGTATAGGTTTTTATAAAAATTCCTATATAAAATATAAAAATAATTCTTTATGATTTTTTTCTTCTATTTTTTTTTTTTACTAATTATTTTAGTTTTATTTTATTTTTTTTTTTTGTTTTCAAATATCAAGTAAACGAAAAAAAAATTAAAAAGTACATCAATTTGAAAAAATAATTTTGAAAAAATGTTTTAAAAACTCGTTATTTTTAATTTTTTAATATTTATTTATTACATCTATTTATTATTTTTTAAATTTTTGAAAAAAAAAATATCAATAAAGAAAAAATTTTGTTTCTAAAAGATTTCTTTAACATAAATTTTTCCGTACCATCTTCGCTTTTTTTTGACCTTCTACGTATTTCCAATAAAATACTCGTATAAGTGTATATTATTACCACTAGAGGAAACCAATACATCATAATCATTCCAAAGAGAGAATAAGTTATTTCATGAGTATATGTTGGAAAAGCATTAAACGTGACACACTGTGAATACCATGTGATATTTGGATGAGTTTCTAGATGAAATACAATCGTCTAAAAAAAATATATGTAATAAGAAAAATCAAATTTCTAATCAATGACAATTAATAGATATTAAGAGACAATAATAGAAATAACAAGAATATGTAAAAAATTAGTATTATATTAAAAAAGATCTTTTATGCCCTTAGGAAATTTCCTATTTCAAAATTTATTGCTTTAAAAATAAACATTGAATGATACAAGAAAAAAATATAACATATTATGTATATGAAACAAAAATAAAGATATAAAATTCTTTATCTGAATTAATTATTTACAATTATTATACCTGAGGTAATGAACACACAATAGATCCTACCCAAGCAAAGGATAGCATAATTTTACCTCTTTTATCAACATCCCACAATTGAAGTGGTTTTATTACTGCATAATATCTGAAGTGAAATAATTAAAGTAAATAAGGCTGGTATTAATAGCATACATTAATAATTTGTATAGGTTTTATAAAATTCCTATATAAATATAAAATAATTCTTTATGTATTTTTTCTTCTTATTTTTTTTTTTTACTAATTATTTTAGTTTTATTTATTTTTTTTTTGTTTCAAATATCAAGTAACGAAAAAATTAAAAAGTACATCAATTTGAAAAAAATAATTTTGAAAAAATGTTTTAAAAACTCGTTATTTTTAATTTTTTAATATTATTTATTACATCTATTTATTATTTTTTAATTTTTGAAAAAAAAATATCAATAAAGAAAAAATTTTGTTTCTAAAAGATTTCTTTAACATAAATTTTTCCGTACCATCTTCGCTTTTTTTTGACCTTCTACGTATTTCCAATAAAATACTCGTATAAGTGTATATTATTACCACTAGAGGAAACCAATACATCATAATCATTCCAAAGAGAGAATAAGTTATTTCATGAGTATATGTTGGAAAAGCATTAAACGTGACACACTGTGAATACCATGTGATATTTGGATGAGTTTCTAGATGAAATACAATCGTCTAAAAAAAATATATGTAATAAGAAAAATCAAATTTCTAATCAATGACAATTAATAGATATTAAGAGACAATAATAGAAATAACAAGAATATGTAAAAAATTAGTATTATATTAAAAAAGATCTTTTATGCCCTTAGGAAATTTCCTATTTCAAAATTTATTGCTTTAAAAATAAACATTGAATGATACAAGAAAAAAATATAACATATTATGTATATGAAACAAAAATAAAGATATAAAATTCTTTATCTGAATTAATTATTTACAATTATTATACCTGAGGTAATGAACACACAATAGATCCTACCCAAGCAAAGGATAGCATAATTTTACCTCTTTTATCAACATCCCACAATTGAAGTGGTTTTATTACTGCATAATATCTGAAGTGAAATAATTAAAGTAAATAAGGCTGGTATTAATAGCATACATTTATTAAATATTATATTAAAAAGAGTAAAAGATAATGTTAAAAGAAAAGTCGCAAAAAATTACAATATCAACACAATATTTAAAAGCTTTTTAGTTAAATTATAATTGATTCCAAAGTATATGATTTCCTAAATATTATTTTATAATTTTTTTAATATATGATTTTTCATCATATTCTATTTTTTTTTCTTAAACAAACTGGATTATCATTATATAAAATGAAATAATAAATAGATGAAAATTGACATCAAGTTTTTTTTAATAATATAATTTTTCATAAAATGTATCCAATGTAATTAGATACTTATAAAATCAATTGTAATTAATTAATTTTTCATGATAAATGATTATTCATTAATTTATTAACATCTTATGATGTACTGACCTGTCCATACTTATGCATACCAGAACAAAAGATGATAAATATAGGCCAAACATTCTAAAGAAAGCCATTATTCGGCACATCGCGTCCCCTGCTTTCCAAGAAACAGTGATCGCCCAACCAATCTCTAATGGCATCATTAAAAAAGTAACCTGAAAATAGTTCTTTTTTCATTTTTTCTTATAACAAAAGATACTACTAAAATTACGAATAATCATGCCCCAAGTTGAATGAAGTACTGATCTATCCGAAACTCCCACAATTTTTTAATATTCAAATCTTAAATTGGGTTGATCAATGCTGATAAATTTAAAAAAATTTATATTTATATATAAATACGATGCTCTTTCTTTCAATATGACTTTTCATTTCGAATCTTAATTACTTTATTCTTCATCGTATAATATTTATATCGTTACATTTTCAAATCCATTTTAATCGCTTAACTTAAGATTTAACTTAAGATTCGAATGGGTATTAATTAAAAAATTTTTCAGACTCCTGTATTTTCAATGTATTTTTATCACGGTAATATTAGTTACATTTTTCAGTGCCTCATCCAAAGCTTGAACACTTGCACACCTCTAATTGTTTTAACGTGTTACTATTTGAGGAAAATTCATATTGAGTGATACTCACAAGTAGATCAGC